GCTGCCATTGAAAAACTGATTGCGACAATAAACGTTGTGCCTGCCCCGGGGTGACAAGTCGTGTAACAGTAAATGTCACGGAATGATTCCTTGTAAAAACAAAATATAATTCGTAATAATACATGTATTGTTTTAAATTGAAAAAAAATGTCACTTATCAATAAATATTATTTGGGATTCGCTGGAATATCAGCTGGATTGTAACGATGATTATCATAGGTACCTATATGTAATATTATGTACGTATTTGGTTAATGACGTTATTTTGAAACGATCTCGTTTCAATATTTAAATAATATTATGTAACTACATCGAAAAATAAACTAAAGTGAGTTGTCCACCTGCATAAACACCAACAACTACAGTTTGTCACCGTTGGTGCGTACCTAAATCGTATAAAATATTTGAACGAACGTAACTATTAATAGAACATTTAATATGCGTCGAATTGATATTTAGCCACCGTTGTTAACCTTTCCCAGGGGCGGTACATACACAACTTCAACCATAAAATAATAATAATAATAATAATAATAGCATACGCTTCTGTTTCACTGAAAATAATAATAATAATATATATTGTATATAATAATATGTTTGTTTATGATCGCGAGCGAATTGTGGACCCGACCGTAATGTATTGTCCATGCATCGTTATTGTTATGCTCAGTTTGGCATCGGGAACGCAACACTTTGAAGTGTCTTCTATCAGGGGGAAAAAACACGAATAAATAATAACAGCAAGTTTATTTATTTTGGACCACTCAAGAGATAAGCGATGGCTGCGGCTGTAAAAGGTCGCCACTCCACATTACACTATTACAGTACTTCGACTATATTATATTCACATAATAATATTGTAATAATACATTGGTATATATAAACAGTAAGTTTATCCTTTTAATTTTGTTGATATAAAATATTATTATTATATAAGAATAATTTACCTCCTACGTGGTGTTTGAAGACCTGCAATTAAGTGGCGTTAAGCAAGTGGCGGCGAGATGCTTGAATTTTACAGGATCGCTTTATAAAAATATCGAAATCAAACCTGTTCTTCATGTTGACTAAATCTTCGTGATTCATCATCAACGGGAAGTTTCGTACAATATTACAATTTATTATATACCAATTGGCTACTCGCATCATATACATACAAGGTCTACCCGTAAGTACTTATATAGAGGAAGGATGTGCTCACCGCCGTAACTAAGATTTAGTTCAAAAGTGTCACTAGAGTTTAGTGGTCACAGGGTGTCCTGTAAAATAATCGTAATTAAAAGTAAAACGTAAACGATAAAATAACTATATACCCCATTATTTAGATGCAAATGTTTATTTATTTTATCATTATCGATAATCTTATTAGATAACTCTCTTTCTTTAGACTTTAGGTTATCCCAATCGTATTGTCGTATACGTTCACTTCACATTCCTTAATCTTTATTAAACAGGTGTTTGGTCAAGAATCTCATCAAACCATTAGTTAAACTCCAGCATGACTAAAATGCTCGACTATGGTCTACAATATCCAAATTAAAGGACCAGGACAACGAGAACAGAATAGATCAGATGATGTAGTGTAATTTGTAAGTAATTATGTCTGGTTGGTTTGCACACAATTGCTAGACACGACCGTGACGACGAGCCCAGAATAACTATAATTCGAATGCGTATTAGTACATATTATAGTACGTTGTTAAGTTGTATGATTCAACTAGCGGTCACACTGTGCCCAGTCCGCACAGACTTCGACTTGGCGACCGGTGGAGACTGTTTTGTAAGTGAATATAAAAACAACTGTTTTATAGTCCGTGTGAACGGAGAAAGGCTCTAACGAAATTATGCGTGACTGTGTAATTTATTATTTCTGACGTTTATTTGTTAAACACTTCTTAGTTTTGTTTTTAAAATTATAAATATGCACAACACATGTATAGTAGATATTACCTGATATTGAATAAACGTTATTAAGATTAAAATCTGTTCAATGACATTTTATTTATATGATTTTAATTTTTGGTTATTTAACACATTTATTGATTGATGGACCTATAACATATTTATCAACCTCTAACTATCGTTTAAAGACCAACTAAGTAGGACAATCAACTTAAATAATAATAAATCATAGACAAACACTTTTTTTTTAACAAAACACAAACGTATTAGTGTGGACTACCGGGTCAATGATCGTGTGTCTACAAACGCACTGCACCTGCTGCTAATGAAAACAGCTGGAAGACCTTTCGCATTCTGATCGTGACGATGGCGTTCTGTAATAATCATATCGCACTGTTGAAGTCTCGCAGTTCGTTTTCTTGATATACTTATTTTATATAATCCTCAAACCGAGTCAAACCCATTACTAGCACTACATACTATTTGGGGCTTATATGACAATAATATTATTGAATTATTATATATTATGCCAAACCAGCTATGTGGCAGACCGCAAACGGTAATACAACTATATTAATAAAATAACAATATATTATATATTATTTGTAGATATAAATATAAGCACTTATATATTGTCCAGTCGCACCGTGTGTTGCATTCACTCACTTCTATTATACCACATAAAGTATACATGTATACAGTATAGAAATATGTGCTCGTATAGCCGTGTATTTTTGTATTTTATTTTTTCTCCCACCCTGACCGTCGACATAATAATATTAATATTATTATTATGTGCACAATATTACACTCTGGTTATCGGGACACGCCAAATAGAATACGATTTCGGTGCGCAATGGGTTGGAATAATAAGTTTTGCTGTCCAGTTTTCCATACAAAAAAGGTATCATAGAGGTACCTCCTGTATTATAATAATATACAATATTATCCTGTCGCATACTCTTGAATATTGACAGTCTTTACAAAATATAGTTTACTGTAATAACAGCTTAGTAGGTAATAGGTAGTTGATTTAAATTCCTATGTAAGAAACAGCAATTTATAATAATTTTTTCACTATTAAATTACAATACAAATTTCTATAACATAAGTCCTCAAGTTAAAGGTATCGAAATCGGTATACCTACCGGCTACCGACAAAACCGTTAACCCATATAGTATAGGACACACTATATTGGTACCGTTTCACTTCGGTATTGAACGATACGTCGGTACTTCAGTATTACGATATACTATTTAAGCGGGATTTGAGCATTAACCGGAATACCAATGTAAGATGGTATACCGAAATAACCGTCAAAATTAATAAATTGTTTTCTGTATTTATTCATTGAAATTATCGCAAGGTCTTTATCAATGCATATTACAAGTGGGTAGTAGGGAGATCATGTGATCTATTTATCTATGTATAATATATCACTATATGCACTATGATACTACTCCAAGAGGAGACATGTGTGGTCTTCATTCCCAGTGGAGCGGGACTTAGTTGGAAACCGGATGACTTTATAGGACAACAGCTCGGAAAATGTTGATAGCGTAGAACCGCACAAATTTGTTCATACTTTGCTATTTGAATCATAGACTGTCGTAGTTAACTGCGTGTCCACTGCGCCACTCCGGCCCCAAACTTAATATAAATAGTAAGTTTTAAATGTGTAATATTGAATGTCAACAAAGATGTTGATCGGAGAGGTGATCCCAGCTCTTGCTGCATGTGTTTGTATGTTTAAAATATAATTGTGTTTAAGGTATATATTATGATTCTTTTCCAAGTTTGCGTAATCATCACTATTCAATTGTTTGCTTTAAGTATAATCTGAAACTGTTAAGATTATGTCTTTGAGGATTAAAGAGGTTAAAAAGTAAAATAGTCCTATCAAATCTCCAGAGCCAAATTAAAACTGGTTAATTTATGGTCTTTTCGGCGCTCAAGGGTGGGTATATTACCGAAAGCTGCATAATATTAGACAACAATATAATACGTAGTCCTCGAGATTAGTTCGTCGGCTGGTATAGCTTTTATGTGGTTGCCTGTTGTCACTTTTAGATGGCTGACCATATTGTTGTCGCTCCTTGACGTGCAGCTCATCGAGACCGGCGCAAGTACGACGGACGTCACCACCACTATGTCGCATCCAAATCACAAATAATAACAATAACAATAACAATAACAATTATTCGAGTCCGATGCCGACGCCGACGGTGCGCAATAACTCAATCGCGGCCGGCAACGTTTAATAGGACGGTCCGGCTGGTGTGGCGGCAGGACGGGCGGGAGAACTTAAACGTACGGCGATAATATCCGGCGGCGATGAATACCGCCGGTGTGTGCACGGCTGGAAAGTTGATAATTAACGGCGGGTCGGCGGCGAGCGTTGTGCCGCCGCCGCGACTACGGGACGGGCGAAACGCCGAGCGGGTGAACGAAAGCGCGCGCGCGCTACCCTCCGCCGCCGCCACGGCCACCGTATAGCGTTAACGCTGCGGCGTCCGTTCTCGCGGGCGACACGACCACCATCAGTCGACGGTACGCGCGCGTTGTGTGCGGAAAAGCGGACGATTTCGCGCGTCACCACCCACACGTCATATTATCGTCGTACCACCTATAGACGAGTCGCGTGTTCTCTGCTATCGTATCACCGTTTATAATAATATTATTGTTATTGTTACCATTATTTTTTTTTGTCTTTGTTGTTGTTCGTACAGCGCTGTAGTGGGGCAGGTGGGTGGGGTGGTGCTGCAGGTGTCCGTGTTGTAGGTGCAGGGGGGTTCGCCGCGAAATTTTCTCCCAAATAGTGACAGTCCCGCTAGCCGTTTACCGGTCCAGGTGCTCTCCTGCCACCTCGGACGATGACTGCTACGCGTCCGACGCACGCCAACCGTCGTCAACCGGCGGCATATCCGTGGCCGGCCGCACCAGCGGCCACGTGACGTGGTTGCCGCTGCTGCTGCTGCTGCGGCGGCGGCGCCTGCTGCAGGTCGCGACCGCGACGACCACGGCCGAGCTGCTCGCTTACCGCGCGGCGACCGCGGCCGCTGCGGCGGTGGCCCAACGGACGGCCGCGGCGGTGGCGATGTACGGCAACGGAACAAGCGGCTCTGACGTCGGCGGCTTTAATTACACGGATGAATACTTTGACGGCGGCAACTGTTCCGCGTTGCCCACGTCGCCGTCGTCCGTGTTCAACAACGACACAGGCTGCTACGAGGATCCCGTCGTCGTCATCGTCAAGAACTATTGGGCCCTTGGGCTGGTTGTGTTCCCAATTCTCACGCTGTTTGGAAACGTACTGGTTATAATCAGCGTGTGCCGGGAACGGGCCCTGCAGTCCGTCACCAATTACTTTATCGTCAGTTTGGCGCTGGCTGATCTGCTGGTCGCCCTCGTGGTCATGCCGTTCGCCGTCTACGTACTGGTGAGTGCATCGCGCCTCAGGTTATTTTGACATTTCAGACCATTCGTTCGATAATAATATTACTTACCTATATTTACAAGAACAACGAATAATAATATTATACATTGTCATTACTAAGTACAATACCGATATATGACGTGTATTATGTACGACTATAGTGCGATGCATTGCTTTAAGTTTATATTTTTATATACCTTAAACTATTAGTGGTTATACAATATATATTATGCCTTTTTCATGCAGGCTGGTGACAATGGTAAAAATGTTATCATTAAATAAAAAAATAATAATTTTGATCGCATCGTTCGATATATTATTTTCTTACACCCCTTATTAATATTATTATGATTTATGACTATCAGATACAAGAACATAATACTTTTGAAAACAGTCTTTTGTGAATATTTATTGTAGTATTTTTTCATACAAAAATCACGAAAATCCAATTAAAAACCTGAAAGGCAATGAGTCACACAATTATGAAAATTTCTATTTTTGGAAACTTAAATTCAGAAAAATTACATACAACTATTAAGTATATAGGAAGTAGGTACACATAAAAGGTTTTTGGTTCTTTAAATAGTTTTTTATAACCAGCTACCAAATACCATCTAAGAAATTAAAATTACAAATAAATAAATAATTATATAATACTTTGTGTTTGTCACTGATAATTGTATATAAGTGTACGGTTCCCAGTGGACATAAAACCACATTAGGGGTGGTGATGGGGTGGTAGATCTCCCCATGACATTTTTTCAATATCAATGGTCTTATAACCATAAATTATATTTTTAGTGATAAAATAGTTAAAAAATTAGACACCCCCTTTGACAGTGGCAAAATGATTTGACCGTCACTGACCATACGGTTATATTATGAAGCATTTATAAAGTGTACCCTAAAAATAAAGCTAGAAAAGTGAGTATTCGCTTAAAATAAAACTAGAGAAATGAGTATACTCTGTGTACCCGCAATACACTACTGGACTGTATTAAGTACAACGCGATATTGTGAGACATGCATTTTTCTGCTTTCGAAGTTCGTATATCCGTTAGTCGTTGGGTACCTACTACCTATACTTGAAACTTAGGTGTATTTATATTGAATATAATTGTTTAGGTGTAATAATAATATTATGATCTAATATAGAATTATAGAACGGTTTTAAAAACATCTGACGAATTATGCGGAAAACGTCTTCGAGGTGACTAACTGCGGATAAGAGTAGATGTGAATTGTGTGTTTAGATAAATTGACTGAAAAAACTCCGCAAAAAACTGCCTACTGTGGGATATCGCAAAAGCCATTATTTCATTTTTTTTTCTTTTAGAAGCGATTTGAAATTGAAATCTATTTTGAGTTGTAGGTTTTTGGTTCTTGTAAATATTATTTTGTTTTTATGAACCTTGTCTACATTAATATAAATTTATTTTTTTTTTTTTGGTTGCATCTCTGTTACACAATTAACGTTAAATGAAAATATATATTATGTTTTGTTCTAAATAACTGATAGTAAAATCTAGATTTGTATTTTGGTTTTAATTATAGTTTTATGAATCCTTTTTTTCAAATGGAAACATAATATAACAAATAATAAAGTAATAATATTTTATAATCGTGACGAATTTGAATTGGAAACACCGTGAAATAATACTGGAATCGAAACCTATAAAATCAACAGGGTTCTAGTTCATGATTAAGATGTAAATTCATGTAGAAAAGTTGATAGGAATGAGCGAGTGTTGTTATATGCTTGCATTTGTCGACGAAGTATTCAACTATCAAGTTTTGCTACAGAACACTGCTGCGTTAGGTTACGATTCGAGGCGTAAACCATAATATTTGAAGAAATAGGGCAAGTAGCAGACGTTATCCGTACGACGTCGAAACTGTTTTGATTTCCTGACCAAGAAATAATGATAGAAGAGGGAGATCTTTTCATTTTTACGACTGATGGGGTGCACTTTCGGCGACTATATAATATTACTACATTATTATTATATGATAGTCAGAGAGCCGTCTGGTTAATATCAAAATGTATAGACAATTGTGATTATTTCGTGTGCTACTGGTGGTGGAAAATATTATTTACGTCCGGAAGTCGTGTAATAATAAATATACACACAAAAAAACGACAATACAGAATGGTATTAAAATAAAAATTTGCGATTAGCAGTTCCGCATCGGGTCGTTAAACGCGTCAACCAGCAGCAGGAAAGGCCTGCCTCGTCTGATATATATAATAGAGAGGAAATCGTATTTACTATGTTATTACGCACGAGGTTGACAGACCCACGGCCGCAATTTCTTTTGTATTATGACATTTGTCTTATCATGTTTCCTTCAGAAATAAAAGTGTCGTATCTTATAACATCATTACCACCACCATTGCAAACCACCCCATTCCAAGGTTTTATCTCATTTAAAAATACAACGTGAAAATACTCAATGGTCATTTCAACACGTCGACAACTACCGCTCAGTGACAATTTTGTCCTTGTTCTAATCGAATTCGTAAGCAAAAACATAATATATCGTAATATATCGAACTCTCAGCGAATAATATTTTGTTGCTTGAGTACTGATTTGAACAATTTTGATTGGACATTATAATATTATGAGTTCTAAATCATTTTAATATTTTGTAATTAGCTTATAATACTTAATAGCACACAGCATGTACATTATAATATTACGTTCGTATATTATAGGTCGATGATAGGTAATTCATTATGTACATACTCAACACTTATATACATTATAGGTACCTACTACACGCACTTAAAGTTTTATAATGATATAAATATTTTTATAAATCATCTTTTTCACTTCGTGCGATGTGATGATATTCGAGGTGGTGCAAGTGTGACACCGTGACGGACACTGGGCCATACCGCACATTTGCGCAGTATCCTTTGATTTTCGTCATAATATCAATGTCCCCACCGTGTTCGGGTCGGCCTTGTCGAAAACACTAAATAATTCATTAAATTAACTTCGTGGTAAAAAAAGGTGACTTATTGTGCATCATATCGAAATAGTCGATACATTGTTATTCATTTTTCTAGAGCTGTATTGCAATTTATAAACATAATATGAATTTGAAAATATTTTGGCTCTTTTTGTGCTATTTATATATACATATTTGAAAAATGTCTTTATTTTAAACTCTTTTAGTTTTTATTTTGATACATAGGTACATAATAAAATTGTAATCTGTAACTAAAAAACATTCAAAATGTAATTCAAAGTTCCTCATAAGGTAATGTACAACAAAAAAATATCAAAAATTCATATGAATAGATTTTTTTAAAGACATTTCATGTTCAAATTTCGACGAAATTAGATTTTTAAACGAAAATTACTATTTAAGTTATTTTGATGTAGTTAAAAATTTATATTTTGATTGACTTAAAACTTTTCACCACCAAGTATAGTATTAATTAGGTACCATACGTCATAATGCAACTTTCAAAACACTCAGATTCACTGTAAGTCATTTATATATCACGTATATCATCCAAACCAATCTACGATACTACTAATATAAAAATAAATTACTACTTATTGACTATTACTTATTGTACTTAGTATAATGTATAATATATATAATAAATTAATATCCTTAGAAATATAAGCTGACAGACTGTCTCCACAGTTGTTTTCATATAAAATGATTTATTATTGAATTCAAATTTAACATATCCATATCCATTACAGTAATCGATAAGAGAAGAGGTACACATGAAATCTACTATATATTTCCTTTCCCGGTTTTTTATTTTCGATTAAATTTAACTCTCAATGTTAAGTCATAAAAATCGTATCAAGTAGCTATAGACATAATTATGTATATTTATATAGATACTGTGTAGATTGTAGTCTAAATCGTAAAATGGGGTGCAAAGCCACCGTAGACGTGGTACGCTGAATTCCAAATTAGACCTTTTCCTTATATTTTGGATGATTTCAACTAATTCTACGTGGAAACATACATTTTGGTGGGATTATTATCAAAGAGATGTTTGTATACCGTGTGTTTGGGTTATTCTACATTAAACTATACATTATACGTTATTTGTCTGTCTGAACTACAAGTCTTCACCGTGACCAAACTACAGATACCTACTGTATGAGTGATATGCTGTCATACGCAATTTGTTTTTGCTAGGACAAATTATTACGTTAGAATTAAATAAGACTGAACGTTGATAGATAAATGATCATCTAATATTGTTCTTTATGAATAGTTTTTTCTTTTTACAGTTGCGATTCAAGTTTAAAATATAATTATTAGAGGTAAATAATTTATAAATTACAGTGAAACTTCCATACAACGAACTTAAATTTAAAAAAAAATTGTGTGTTTAACGAAATATTTTTAAGAACCAAACTAAATTAAAACGAAATGTATTTAATTCTGTTTGATGAATTTATTCCTCTATATTATACCAATTTTTTTTTTCCCATGAGACTTCGTAATATGGGAACTTCACTATATTTTATTTTAAAATATGTTTATTTTTCGTACGTAAATACGTAAATACGTATCCATATAATATTGATATAAAAGTATAAAACAATTTGTGTATACCTATCTGAAAAATATCGTATGTAATAATAACAAAATTAATATTGACGTATGATAGCGTTTTTTGAATTTTGAATCTAATATTATGTACCTATCATGTAGATTGTAGGTACAATTATTTAATATTGAAACTAACATACTTTGATCATCACTGTGCGTCTTTGCTAGCTTATAATGGTCGTTGTAGAGAATATTTCTCTATAGTATATTTACTTGTAATCTGGAATGTATAAAAACCATTGAATTAGTCGTTTTTCTACCACATCTAAAGTTATTATCATACGACCAATTAATATCGAACATTTTAATATATTTACAAGTTTATTCGAGGGTATATAAATATAAATAACGGCAATAACCGTTGAATTCATTAACGCAAATAGTATGTTATATAATTTATTATATAAATATTTACTCGTTAAGTACTTGATATATA